ACTTACTTATTCTAACTTAACTAACCTAACCTAACCTAAGTTAACTTACCTTACCTAACTTATCTTAACCTAACTTACCTAACCTAACTTACCTAACCTAGCTTACCTACCCTAACTTACCTAACCTAGCTTATATAACCTAACCTAACTTACCTATCACACACAGAGATCACAATAACGTGATGCATCAAATGAACAAATCCACAAGGGCCGTGACGAGGATTCGAACCTGCATCCGGGAGCATCCCAGACACTGCCTTAATCGACTGAGCTACGACAGGGCAAAAGAGGGCGAAGAGGGAGAACGGCCTATTGACATAGCTCGGGTGCAGGGGGGGGGGGTTGTGTAAAATCCTGGTTTGTGCCTCGGAGAGGCTACGGGATCCAGTAAGTTCAGTAGAACTTCGGTTTCAACCCTTTTACCCTGTCGTAGCTCAGTCAATTAAGGCAGCGTCTGGGATGCTCCCGGACGCAGGTTCGAATCCTCGTCACAGCCCTTGTGGATTTGTTCATTTAACTTACCTATCCTAACTTAACTAACCTGACCTAACCTAACTTAACTTACCTAACCTAACTTAATCTAACTTACCTAAGCTAACTTACCTATCCTAACTTACCTAACCTAACCTAACTTAACCTATCCTAACTTATCCCAACCTAAAGTAAATTATCTAACTTAGCCTAACTTACATAACCTAACTTACCCAAACTGACGTAACCTAACTTACCTAGTCCAACTTACCCAACCAGACATGACCTAACTTACATAAATATTCCTGCTTGTCTTTTGTGTTTCGTCAATGTCTCATATTCATTTACTCGTTTCAAGGGATATTTTCTCAAATGGTCATTTACGCATTTCAAGTGCAATTTGTTAAAGATTGGGTATTTAAGCATTTCAAAGGATTTTTGTTATATATGGGCATTTACTCGTTTCAAGGGTTAATTTCTCAAATGGTCATTTTTGCATTTCAAGGGTTATTTGTTAAAGCTCATCAAGTTGCTCATAAGTTGTATTTATTATGTTAGTTATCATTTGTTCTTATTCCCCCAACCCTTTAACCTAACCTTTCAGATGTAGTTTATTTGTTTATTGTGTTTGACGTATTTGTTGAATATATTATCCTTATCCTAACCTTTCAGATGTAGTTTTGTTTCTTCTTTTTGTATATTTTACCCAAACCCGCCATCCCACTTAACCTTCCTTCCTTCTTTTACTTTGTTTTCACATATAAGTTCATTCTTTATCTTAGTAATATTATAATTACAGTAGTAAAGAATCAGATCTACTAAGACTTGAAATTGAGAAAAACAAGAGAGCAAGGGAGATAGAGAAAGGAATAAGAGAGAGGGGGAGGAAGAGAGAGAATGAGGGAGAGTGAGAGCATGGGAGCACTAAGACTTGAATTTGAGAAAAAGAAAAATAGGAGGAGGAAGATAGAGAGAAAAAGGGCGATAGAAGGAGTAGGAGACACAAATAAAACAAGGAATGATGGTGGGTGGTGGTGGTCCGTGGGTGGTGGTGATGGTGGTGGTCCGTGGGTGGTGGTGGTCCGTGGGTGGTGGTGATGGTGGAGGTCCGTGGGTGGTGGTGATGGTGGAGGTCCGTGGGTGGTGGTGATGGTGGTGGTCCGTGGGTGGTGGTGATGGTGGAGGTCCGTGGGTGGTGGTGATGGTGGAGGTCCGTGGGTGGGGGTGATGGTGGAGGTCCGTGGGTGGTGGTGATGGTGGAGGTCCGTGGGTGGTGGTGATGGTGGTGGTCCGTGGGTGGTGGTGATGGTGGTGGTCCGTGGGTGGTGGTGATGGTGGAGGTCCGTGGGTGGTGGTGATGGTGGTGGTCCGTGGGTGGTGGTGATGGTGGAGGTCCGTGGGTGGTGGTGATGGTGGAGGTCCGTGGGTGGGGGTGATGGTGGAGGTCCGTGGGTGGTGGTGATGGTGGTGGTCCGTGGGTGGTGGTGATGGTGGAGGTCCGTGGGTGGTGGTGATGGTGGAGGTCCGTGGGTGGTGGTGATGGTGGTGGTCCGTGGGTGGTGGTGATGGTGGAGGTCCGTGGGTGGGGGGGATGGTGGAGGTCCGTGGGTGGGGGTGATGGTGGAGGTCCGTGGGTGGTGGTGATGGTGGAGGTCCGTGGGTGGGGGTGATGGTGGAGGTCCGTGGGTGGTGGTGATGGTGGAGGTCCGTGGGTGGGGGTGATGGTGGAGGTCCGTGGGTGGTGGTGATGGTGGAGGTCCGTGGGTGGGGGTGATGGTGGAGGTCCGTGGGTGGTGGTGATGGTGGAGGTCCGTGGGTGGTGGTGATGGTGGAGGTCCGTGGGTGGTGGTGATGGTGGAGGTCCGTGGGTGGTGGTGATGGTGGTGGTCCGTGGGTGGTGGTGATGGTGGAGGTCCGTGGGTGGTGGTGATGGTGGAGGTCCGTGGGTTGTGGTGATGGGTGGAGGTCCGTGGGTGGGGGTGATGGTGGAGGTCCGTGGGTGGGGGTGATGGTGGAGGTCCGTGGGTGGGGGTGATGGTGGAGGTCCGTGGGTGGGGGTGATGGTGGAGGTCCGTGGGTGGGGGTGATGGTGGAGGTCCGTGGGTGGGGGTGATGGTGGAGGTCCGTGGGTGGGGTTGATGGTGGAGGTCCGTGGGTGGGGGTGATGGTGGAGGTCCGTGGGTGGGGGTGATGGTGGAGGTCCGTGGGTGGGGGTGATGGTGGAGGTCCGTGGGTGGGGGTGATGGTGGAGGTCCGTGGGTGGGGGTGATGGTGGAGGTCCGTGGGTGGGGGTGATGGTGGAGGTCCGTGGGTGGGGGTGATGGTGGAGGTCCGTGGGTGGGGGTGATGGTGGAGGTCCGTGGGTGGAGATGATGGTGGAGGTCCGTGGGTGGTGGTAATAGTGGAGGTCCGTGGGTGGGGGTGATGGTGGAGGTCCGTGGGTGGGGGTGATGGTGGAGGTCCGTGGGTGGGGGTGATGGTGGAGGTCCGTGGGTGGGGGTGATGGTGGAGGTCCGTGGGTGGGGGTGATGGTGGAGGTCCGTGGGTGGGGGTGGGGTCCAGGTCTATTGTGTATAATGTCTATAGTGGCCCAGGTCTATAGTGGCCCAGGTCTATAGTGTATAATGTCTATAGTGGTCCAGGTCTATAGTGGCCCAGGTCTATAGTGTATAATGTCTATAGTGTTTAAGGTCCATAGTAAATAAGGTCTATAGTGAACCTGGTCTATAGTGGACCTAGTCTGTCATGTTTCTGTTCTGTATAAGGTCCTGGTCTAAAGTGAGATACATGAGACATGAGAGAGATATGAGTCATAGATGACATGAGTAAGGGATGACATGAATATGATATACATGAGTCCACTCACAAGATGAGTGGCGCTGCCCAATAAACTCGCCCCTCGGGGCAAAATTTAAAAATTTATGAGTCAAGGAAGACATTAGTAGTGAGGGTGAAGCGTGACGGGAACCAAGAGAGTCAATGGAGTTATGAGTGAGGGGAGACAGGAGCCAAGGGAGGCATGAAAGGTGAGGGGAGACAGGAGCCAAGGGAGACATGACAGGTGAGGGGAGACAGGAGCCAAGGGAGGCATGACAGGTGAGGGGAGACAGGAGCCAAGGGAGACATGACAGGTGAGGGGAGACAGGAGCCAAGGGAGACATGACAGGTGAGGGGAGACAGGAGCCAAGGGAGGCATGACAGGTGAGGGGAGACAGGAGCCAAGGGAGACATGACAGGTGAGGGGAGACAGGAGCCAAGGGAGGCATGACAGGTGAGGGGAGACAGGAGCCAAGGGAGACATGACAGGTGAGGGGAGACAGGAGCCAAGGGAGGCATGACAGGTGAGGGGAGACAGGAGCCAAGGGAGACATGACAGGTGAGGGGAGACAGGAGCCAAGGGAGGCATGACAGGTGAGGGGAGACAGGAGCCAAGGGAGACATGACAGGTGAGAGGAGACAGGAGCCAAGGGAGACATGACAGGTGAGGGGAGACAGGAGCCAAGGGAGGCATGACAGGTGAGGGGAGACAGGAGCCAAGGGAGGCATGACAGGTGAGGGGAGACAGGAGCCAAGGGAGACATGACAGGTGAGGGGAGACAGGAGCCAAGGGAGACATGACAGGTGAGGGGAGACAGGAGCCAAGTGAGGCATGACAGGTGAGGGGAGACAGAAGCCAAGTGAGGCATGACAGGTGAGGGGAGACAGGAGCCAAGGGAGGCATGACAGGTGAGGGGAGACAGGAGCCAAGGGAGGCATGACAGGTGAGGGGAGACAGGAGCCAAGGGAGACATGACAGGTGAGGGGAGACAGGAGCCAAGGGAGGCATGACAGGTGAGGGGAGACAGGAGCCAAGGGAGGCATGACAGGTGAGGGGAGACAGGAGCCAAGGGAGGCATGACAGGTGAGGGGAGACAGGAGCCAAGGGAGACAAGACAGGTGAGGGGAGACAGGAGCCAAGGGAGACATGACAGGTAAGAGGAGACAGGAGCCAAGGGAGACATGACAGGTAAGAGGAGACAGGAGCCAAGGGAGACATGACAGGTGAGGGGAGACAGGAGCCAAGGGAGACATGACAGGTAAGAGGAGACAGGAGCCAAGGGAGACATGACAGGTGAGGGGAGACAGGAGCCAAGGGAGACATGACAGGTAAGAGGAGACAGGAGCCAAGGGAGACATGACAGGTGAGGGGAGACAGGAGCCAAGGGAGACATGACAGGTGAGGGGAGACAGGAGCCAAGGGAGACATGACAGGTGAGAGGAGACAGGAGCCAAGGGAGACATGACAGGTGAGAGTAGTGAAGTCTCACCTTACAAATATCAACAAGACACAGTGGCAGCGCGGGCAAGACAGAGCACCCGTGACCCCAAGAGACGAGACGGGGTTCGACACCCAGCTTGAGGTGTAGACACGAGGTGTACAGGAGGTCGTGTGTGTGTATACATGTGACGCTACAGGTGTGGAGGACCTGCGGCAGTGTTGGACATGTTGACACGAGTACTGTGTACTCTCCTACCTGGCGGGTACTCACCTTGGGGGAGTGTAGCGAGGTGTAGCTTAGGTCCACACGCACCACACACTGCTTCACCACTACCACCACTCTCACCACCACTACCACCACTCTCACTACCACCACTACCACCACAGGGAGCGACCACCAAGCGCCGCCGACGGAGCCCTTAACGCCACTGCCCAGAAGTGATCCCACTTTAGCCGGCCGATGGTTTGTGTACATTCGCGCGCGCGTGCCCCAGTGTGTGCGCGTGCGTGCGTGCGTTAATACGGCTTTGCGTACGTGTTTGTTAATATGAGTTTGCGTGCGTGTGCGCACATGAGGAGTGGTGTGCGTGTGAGTGTGTGTGGAGGGGCGGGCGCGCGTGGGAATGGCGGGGAGACCACTGGACTCCCCGGCCACTTACTCTCGTCTACATGCCCGGAGGCGCCCTCTGGCCCCCCTTCTGCGCCCCTCCCCCCCAGTAGGAGGGGGCGAGGGGAGGGGTGACGAGGGGGGCTGAGGGCGGGGAAGGGTTGGGAGCAGGGGTGGGGGCAGAAGGGTGGATAGAAGGGGGGGAATAGGGCAGAAAAGGGGAGGCGGGGATTGCTGGGGGAGAAGGGAGAGGGGAGATAAGGGAGAAGGGGGTGGGAGGGGAAGGCGGGGGTAGAGGGGGGGGCGGGGCTGGGGAGGTGGGGGTGAGGGGCACCACCCACATGGGGGAACCCCAATCACCCCTAACCCCACCTATCCTCATTCCTCACTCCACCTGTCCCAAGCCTTCCTCTTCACCCACTTATATCCATCCCCGTCCTTCACCTGGCGGGGGGGGGGGGGGTGCCACAAGAACTGGGGATAGGAGGCTAGCCCCGAGGTGTATACTGTCCTAGCCCCGGGGTGTAGACTGTCCTAGCCCCGAGGTGTAGACTGTCCTAGCCCCGACTGTCCTAGCCCCGGGGTGTAGACTGTCCTAGCCCCGGGGTGTACACTGTCCTAGCCCCGAGGTGTAGACTGTCCTAGCCCCGAGGTGTAGACTGTCCTAGCCCCGAGGTGTAGACTGTCCTAGCCCCGGGGTGTAGACTGTCCTTGCCCCGAGGTGTAGACTGTCCTAGCCCCGAGGTGTATACTGTCCTAGCCCCGGGGTGTAGACTGTCCTAGCCCCGAGGTGTATACTGTCCTAGCCCCGAGGTGTATACTGTCCTAGCCCCGGGGTGTAGACTGTCCTAGCCCCGAGGTGTAGACTGTCCTTGCCCCGAGGTGTATACTGTCCTAGCCCCGGGTGTAGACTGTCCTAGCCCCGAGGTGTAGACTGTCCTAGCCCCGAGGTGTATACTGTCCTAGCCCCGGGGTGTAGACTGTCCTAGCCCGAGGTGTAGACTGTCCTTGCCCCGAGGTGTATACTGTCCTAGCCCCGGGGTGTAGACTGTCCTAGCCCCGAGGTGTAGACTGTCCTAGCCCCGAGGTGTATACTGTCCTAGCCCCGGGGTGTAGACTGTCCTAGCCCCGAGGTGTAGACTGTCCTAGCCCCGAGGTGTATACTGTCCTAGCCCCGGGGTGTAGACTGTCCTAGCCCCGGGGTGTAGACTGTCCTAGCCCCGAGGTGTATACTGTCCTAGCCCCGGGGTGTAGACTGTCCTAGCCCCGAGGTGTAGACTGTCATAGCCCCGAGGTGTATACTGTCCTAGCCCCGAGGTGTTGACTGTCCTAGCCCCGGGGTGTATACTGTCCTAGCCCCGGGGTGTAGACTGTCCTAGCCCCGAGGTGTATACTGTCCTAGCCCCGGGGTGTAGACTGTCCTAGCCCCGAGGTGTAGACTGTCCTAGCCCCGAGGTGTATACTGTCCTAGCCCCGAGGTGTTGACTGTCCTAGCCCCGAGGTGTATACTGTCCTAGCCCCGGGGTGTAGACTGTCCTAGCCCCGGGGTGTAGACTGTCCTAGCCCCGAGGTGTATACTGTCCTAGCCCCGGGGTGTAGACTGTCCTAGCCCCGGGGTGTAGACTGTCCTAGCCCCGAGGTGTATAGACTGTCCTAGCCCCGGGGTGTAGACTGTCCTAGCCCCGAGGTGTTGACTGTCCTAGCCCCGAGGTGTAGACTGTCCTAGCCCCGAGGTGTAGACTGTCCTAGCCCCGAGGTGTTGACTGTCCTAGCCCCGAGGTGTAGACTGTCCTAGCCCCGGGGTGTTGACTGTCCTAGCCCCGAGGTGTTGACTGTCCTAGCCCCGAGGTGTAGACTGTCCTAGCCCCGGGGTGTTGACTGTCCTAGCCCCGGGGTGTAGACTGTCCTAGCCCCGAGGTGTAGACTGTCCTAGCCCCGAGGTGTTGACTGTCCTAGCCCCGAGGTGTAGACTGTCCTAGCCCCGAGGTGTTGACTGTCCTAGCCCCGAGGTGTAGACTGTCCTAGCCCCGGGGTGTTGACTGTCCTAGCCCCGAGGTGTTGACTGTCCTAGCCCCGAGGTGTAGACTGTCCTAGCCCCGGGGTGTAGACTGTCCTAGCCCCGGGGTGTAGACTGTCCTAGCCCCGAGGTGTAGACTGTCCTAGCCCCGAGGTGTTGACTGTCCTAGCCCCGGGGTGTAGACTGTCCTAGCCCCGAGGTGTAGACTGTCCTAGCCCCGGGGTGTTGACTGTCCTAGCCCCGAGGTGTAGACTGTCCTAGCCCCGAGGTGTTGACTGTCCTAGCCCCGAGGTGTAGGCTGTCCTAGCCCCGAGGTGTTGACTGTCCTAGCCCCGAGGTGTAGACTGTCCTAGCCCCGAGGTGTTGACTGTCCTAGCCCCGGGGTGTATACTGTCCTAGCCCCGGGGTGTAGACTGTCCTAGCCCCGAGGTGTATACTGTCCTAGCCCCGGGGTGTAGACTGTCCTAGCCCCGAGGTGTAGACTGTCCTAGCCCCGAGGTGTATACTGTCCTAGCCCCGAGGTGTTGACTGTCCTAGCCCCGAGGTGTATACTGTCCTAGCCCCGGGGTGTAGACTGTCCTAGCCCCGGGGTGTAGACTGTCCTAGCCCCGAGGTGTATACTGTCCTAGCCCCGGGGTGTAGACTGTCCTAGCCCCGGGGTGTAGACTGTCCTAGCCCCGAGGTGTAGACTGTCCTAGCCCCGGGGTGTAGACTGTCCTAGCCCCGAGGTGTTGACTGTCCTAGCCCCGAGGTGTAGACTGTCCTAGCCCCGAGGTGTAGACTGTCCTAGCCCCGAGGTGTTGACTGTCCTAGCCCCGGGGTGTATACTGTCCTAGCCCCGGGGTGTAGACTGTCCTAGCCCCGAGGTGTATACTGTCCTAGCCCCGGGGTGTAGACTGTCCTAGTCCCGAGGTGTAGACTGTCCTAGCCCCGAGGTGTATACTGTCCTAGCCCCGAGGTGTTGACTGTCCTAGCCCCGAGGTGTATACTGTCCTAGCCCCGGGGTGTAGACTGTCCTAGCCCCGGGTGTAGACTGTCCTAGCCCCGAGGTGTATACTGTCCTAGCCCCGGGGTGTAGACTGTCCTAGCCCCGGGGTGTAGACTGTCCTAGCCCCGAGGTGTAGACTGTCCTAGCCCCGGGGTGTAGACTGTCCTAGCCCCGAGGTGTTGACTGTCCTAGCCCCGAGGTGTAGACTGTCCTAGCCCCGAGGTGTAGACTGTCCTAGCCCCGAGGTGTTGACTGTCCTAGCCCCGAGGTGTAGACTGTCCTAGCCCCGAGGTGTTGACTGTCCTAGCCCCGAGGTGTAGACTGTCCTAGCCCCGCGGAGTTGACTGTCCTAGCCCCGAGGTGTTGACTGTCCTAGCCCCGAGGTGTAGACTGTCCTAGCCCCGGGGTGTAGACTGTCCTAGCCCCGGGGTGTAGACTGTCCTAGCCCCGAGGTGTAGACTGTCCTAGCCCCGAGGTGTTGACTGTCCTAGCCCCGGGGTGTAGACTGTCCTAGCCCCGAGGTGTAGACTGTCCTAGCCCCGGGGTGTTGACTGTCCTAGCCCCGAGGTGTAGACTGTCCTAGCCCCGAGGTGTTGACTGTCCTAGCCCCGAGGTGTAGGCTGTCCTAGCCCCGAGGTGTTGACTGTCCTAGCCCCGAGGTGTAGACTGTCCTAGCCCCGAGGTGTTGACTGTCCTAGCCCCGGGGTGTATACTGTCCTAGCCCCGGGGTGTAGACTGTCCTAGCCCCGAGGTGTATACTGTCCTAGCCCCGGGGTGTAGACTGTCCTAGCCCCGAGGTGTAGACTGTCCTAGCCCCGAGGTGTATACTGTCCTAGCCCCGAGGTGTTGACTGTCCTAGCCCCGAGGTGTATACTGTCCTAGCCCCGGGGTGTAGACTGTCCTAGCCCCGGGGTGTAGACTGTCCTAGCCCCGAGGTGTATACTGTCCTAGCCCCGGGGTGTAGACTGTCCTAGCCCCGGGGTGTAGACTGTCCTAGCCCCGAGGTGTAGACTGTCCTAGCCCCGGGGTGTAGACTGTCCTAGCCCCGAGGTGTTGACTGTCCTAGCCCCGAGGTGTAGACTGTCCTAGCCCCGAGGTGTAGACTGTCCTAGCCCCGAGGTGTTGACTGTCCTAGCCCCGAGGTGTAGACTGTCCTAGCCCCGGGGTGTTGACTGTCCTAGCCCCGAGGTGTTGACTGTCCAAGCCCCGAGGTGTAGACTGTCCTAGCCCCGGGGTGTTGACTGTCCTAGCCCCGGGGTGTAGACTGTCCTAGCCCCGAGGTGTAGACTGTCCTAGCCCCGAGGTGTTGACTGTCCTAGCCCCGAGGTGAAGACTGTCCTAGCCCCGAGGTGTTGACTGTCCTAGCCCCGAGGTGTAGACTGTCCTAGCCCCGAGGTGTTGACTGTCCTAGCCCCGAGGTGTTGACTGTCCTAGCCCCGAGGTGTACACTGTCCTAGCCCCGAGGTGTTGACTGTTCTAGCCCCGGGGTGTACACTGTCCTAGCCCCGGGGTGTAGACTGTCCTAGCCCCGAGGTGTTGACTGTCCTAGCCCCGAGGTGTTGACTGTCCTAGCCCCGAGGTGTTGACTGTCCTAGCCCCGAGGTGTTGACTGTCCTAGCCCCGAGGTGTTGACTGTCCTAGCCCCGAGGTGTTGACTGTCCTAGCACCGGGGTGTACACTGTCCTAGCCCCGAGGTGTAGACTGTCCTAGCCCCGATGTGTTGACTGTCCTAGCCCCGGGGTGTACACTGTCCTAGCCCCGAGGTGTAGACTGTCCTAGCCCCGAGGTGTTGACTGTCCTAGCCCCGAGGTGTAGACTGTCCTAGCCCCGAGGTGTACACTGTCCTAGCCCCGGGGTGTACACTGTCCTAGCCCCGAGGTGTTGACTGTCCTAGCCCCGAGGTGTACACTGTCCTAGCCCCGAGGTGTAGACTGTCCTAGCCCCGAGGTGTTGACTGTCCTAGCACCGGGGTGTTCACTGTCCTAGCCCCGAGGTGTAGACTGTCCTAGCC